ATACGGCAACTGCAGTCGAGTGGCCTTTGCCAGACGATGGCCGAGTAAGCTATATTTCTTTTTTTTCTGTGAATTCATCTTTTTGATGAAAGTTTCGTCACAAAATATTTATTGCACTAGTCGCATATTTGTCCAGGTCCAGCACCTCAGCGACCGGCTACTGGACTTGCAATCTTATTGGAAACCTGTTTATGAGTCGCAAACCTTTTGCAACAGGGCAAAGGTGCGTTCTATGATTTGAGCATCTTTGGAGATCTCCTTCATAACAAAATGTTGTTCTGAACGCTCTGTGTAGGGAGTGTCGTCGACAATTACTTCGGAAAAATTGTAACTGCCCATTGTACCCTCCCCCCAAAACCTCCCCTCGGGGTCACAGATAACGTCACTGCTTCTTTTCCGCATTCTTCACCGCTACAGGGAGTGAGAAGAGGATTGACATACCATTGAAATCATTTCCCCCATTCACCCACACGGCAGTTCCGAGCAATTCTATTGGCATCACCCCACTGATTTCGTGTAGAGCAGTTTTGGATCGTTCGTATTCACGACAACCACAGTTTCCAGATTTCATGGGTTGCTCCGTTGGCTTCACAGTTGTTCTTGAGGTCAAGGGCACCAGTCGTACTTTAATGATAGCCACTGTTGTTGCTTTCAGAGCGGTCCATCAAAATACATTCTCTCTATGTTCCCCTATCCATCCGGCAACCTGCACATGGGCCACATGCGAGTCTACACGATCTCAGATGTCACCGCAAGATATTTCCGGTTGAACGGGTTCAATGTGAGTAATGCGCCATGCAATTCAATAAAGCAGAATTTATTGTCTGATTTATAGGTAATTCATCCAATTGGATGGGATGCTTTTGGATTGCCAGCAGAGAACGCAGCTCGGGAACGTGGCGTCGATCCACGGCAATGGACGTTATCGTGGGTTAAGTCAGGTCGTTTTTCGGAGTAGATGACATTTTCCGGTTAGAAGTTGTCAGCAATTAGCGTTGGTTGAGATGCACATGTACTTCAGGTAGTGTGCATAAAACTGGCTGCAGTAGGGGGGGGGTAAAAAAGGGTAGTCTTGCCCAGCGGCGGCCACCCTTTCCACGGATGTGTAGCATCAGAATCGCCCGCGATAGTTACGAGCCGGACAAAACTATTAGTTGGCTTGTCGCTACGGGCTTCCAGTTATCACGTCTCTGACACGCCCCCCCCCCCCCGCACGTAAGATACATGCTCTTCAAAAATGTGTACCCTTTCATTCTTTATACTATTCATAGTACCGGAGCGCTGGTGCAGTTGTAGCGCGTCGACGCGCGTTATCGCGGAGTCCGAACTCTGCGAACTAGCTAATTAGCTCGTAACTAAACCGCGAGCTATGCGCTACATGGGTCCTCAACAGATCCTGATTAATAACGATTGTTTATGAGTGCAATTCTTGAGGTATTAAAATAGTGGAATTGTTTTTCTCCGTTTATACTTCTTTTTTTAGTAATATCGAGTCAATGAGAGGTCAGCTACTGAAGACGGGGATCGTTTTCGATTGGGATAGGGTAGGTTATACCTATGTCTGTATTCGAATTACTGTACCATATATATCATAAAAGCAGCTGCACACGTAGAGCACGATCCCGGAAGAACGGGTCTGGTTTTGAGGAGAAGAGGGAGCATGGGTTGAAGGCACAGTCTACGCTTATCGTGTAAAGGCGGACTCAGAGCCACATCTGTGCCTCACTCATTGGAGCGCTCTCCCCTTCCGGGACGAGAGGCGGTGGGAGCGGGGTGAAGATTAGCGCGCGGGTAAGTCTGGATGACCTGAGCGTCAGTTGCCCAACATTCACATAAGAGGAAGTCTTAAAGATAGACCGCGATCAACCGACGTACAGAACCCGCCCTCTCCCCTCTCTTCTCGCAAGGGGGCGCGGTCCACAAGCGCTACGCGTGCACCAAATTTGAGGTTCAATATTGTAGGATAAAATCGCCACGGCTCTGCTACGGTAAGATATCTCCGCCTACGCAATCGCCTTACGGCTTTATGCTTTAGTCTCACCATTGCTAGATAGTCGTGTCCTCTTAGTCATCTGTGTGCTCTCATGCCATACCTTGGCCTATTTCGCTTTCTGCGACCTATATCTCTTCTTTGTAAGCTCGTGTAATGCTGAGAAGCGACAAACATGGTATTCAGAGTGTTGTGGACAGTTTTTGCCCCCTCTTACTTTTTGAGTTACCTAGCACCGCGGTATCCCTATTTGGACCTCACTGCTCACGAATGGCGATCGCGGGCTCTGCCTTAATGCAAAGGTTGCACACTGGATATACAGAGATTCCGAGAACCACGGAGAATTTTCGCTTGAATCCCTTTTCGCAGGAAATCTCGACATGCGAGCCGTCCTATTATCGCTGGACTCAGTGGATTTTCCTACGGTTGTACGAGCACGGCTTGATCCGGCGAACTCTTGCTGAGGTGAGACTGGCGCGGAGATGTTCGGCAACTGTTTGAGTAACAATTACTGTTAAGGTAAACTGGGATCCAGTAGACAATACGGTACTTGCTGCTGAGCAGATAGATTCCGAAGGAAGGAGTTGGAGAAGCGGTGCTGTCGTTGAGAAACGCAAGTTACGACAATGGATGATTGAGACTCCACGCTATGCAAAGGTGAGGGTCGACGCAGAATGCGTTTCGGCTAAGGAATTGAGAGCAGTTAAATCGTTCCAGCGCTTGAGCGATGGCTTGAAGAAGTTGAATTGGCCCGAAGTGGCTGATATTCAGTCTCACTGGATCGGGAAATGTGATGTCTACCGGTTCTTGTTTCCACTGAGGGTGAGTATTCGTATGTTTTTTCGTGACTGCTGACGGTTTGCAGGCTCACGGAATCTTTAGTTTTCTTTTCTGTATCCTTTAGACTACTGTGGTCGGCGCAGTTCGAGGGGGGGGGATCGGGGGAAGAGGGAAGCATCGCGTGATTTTACTACTTCCTATGTTCATTATTTTACTAGAATTCACATACGTATGCGATAATAATGACACATGGTTTTGCGGTTCTCACAATCACTTTGTGGGCTTGACAAGATTTCACAGGCCACTTAAATAGCTGAGCTTGAACTGTCGTGGGAAGTTGGCAAAGTTGCACGATGCCCCCCCCCAACCACCCCTCCAAGCCAACATGCCCTGTGTTTTACTGGATCAGTGTCTGAAATCTGATTGTATGTGTTTGAGTTCAGGTAGCGATCTTTGCTTTTCTGCTTTACAGGGAGCACAAGATCAGGCGTTAGGAGCTTCTTGATCGTGTAGCACGATCCAGTTGTGTGCCCGAGCGTCTTTCATATGTTATACCGCCATGGTAATCCACTTAAGCGACCATCAACGTTTTCTGTTATTATTCTGCCTGTGAATGCTATGAACCCATTTTTCCTCTTCGTTGAATCATATTCGCAGCCAAACTCGTCTGAGACGGAGGAGGGGGCATCAAAAGTCCCTAGAGCTCCAAACTTAGACTGCCAATGCAGATTCTTTTCTGCACGAGAATGATTCAATGCGACCAAGAGGCTCTTATGACACGCTAGCAAGCCGGGATCCACTGGTAAAACATAGGCTTAACAGGGCTGACTTGAAACGTCGAGCGCAAGGCCGCCTTTTCAGCATTTACCTCCATTTTCAGTGATAGGCGTTTTTTCGCACTTATAGTGATGGGGGCGATCCTCGGCTCGCTCCTTCTTATACTCAGTCTTCTCTCTTTTCTCCTACCCGTTCAGCACACTTAATTACTCATGATCTTTAGAGCAATACACTCTCGTTATCCATTACGACATCTTTTCACTACTTCCGCGTCTCTTTTCTCTCCTCTATCTACCATATTGCCTGCGCCGCCCACCCAGGCATCTCTCCCCACTTGATTGATGTGTGGCCAATGTTTTCTTCCAGCTACATTTTCCCTGATACATTTCAGATCGCCTTGGTATTAGTGTTCTGAATGGAATTTCCGGCGTATGGATGCCAATCATTGTGGTTCCTGAAAACTATGAAGGTCCCTGTATGCACTTGAATGCGAGGTAAGAAACCGTGCCCTTTATAGAGCACTACTGACCGAAGCTAGCAACGGGATTCAGGTGCGGCGATTTTGTGGCAGATGCTTCCTTAGTGGAACAGTTCAAAATCGTACAGGATCGACGAGCTCTCATGCCGATGAATCTCAGGGACGTCAAAGAGATCGCTAAGGTCTGTTGTTGAGCGCAATTCGGCTTGGTGGGGACATGTTGCTGGTTCCCATCTATCACTGTTAATGCTTCCTGTGGATACCTGTAGAAAAGAAATCAGCGAAACTGCAAAATGTCTCCAAACCGAACAGGTTTCTATTTTGCTTGGAAATCTTTCACCCTTCCATCTTTAAAACATTATAGTTTGGCAATTTTGGTGGATATATGACATCGCGAACGCTTCAAGATTGGGTTGTAAGTCGGTAAGTGGGACATTTTCACTTTCCTTGCAAATCTTTACTGTACAAATGTGTTCAGACAACGTTCCTGGGGAACTCCAATCCCAAGTGATCTTGTCTCCTGACGGAAAAACCGCTGTGCCACTCAGTAACGATCAGTTGCCCCTTCTTCATGGACAGGAAGCGGGCAGGAAGATACCGTGTGACAGGTATGTGCTGCTCAGAAGATTCATGTGCTTTGTACGCTTAACGTGTTCTAATAGATAAATGATTCCCTGGTTCCCATTATCGAATCCCGTCCAGGACGATAGAACCTGGCGAATTTCGTCTTGGAGGGTGCATCGAATGGTACTGAAGTTTGGGCCGAACGACTTGTGAGGACTCGTAAATCCCTGTGAGCGAAGTGGCTCACTCGCAACATTTAGCGATTTCACGGGAGCACCGCCTCCACGTGGATCTGTTATTACACATGATCACATGATGTAACAAAAAAAAAATTAGCGAATGAGCAGTATGCCCCTTCCCAGCTTTTGACATTCCGCAATTTCTATAA